GGTTGTCTCCATATGCAAAGAAATGTTATTCAGCCTTCAAAGAAAAGGAGATTCTGACACATGCAACAACATGCATGAGCCTTGAGACCACCGTGCTAAATGACGTGAGCCAGTAACAAAAGGACAAATGCTGTGTGAATCCACTTATATAAGAGACTAGAGTAGTCAAATTCATAGACGGAAAGGGGGGGTCGCCAGGGGCAGGGGAGGGTGGGGAGTGGGCTGCGGAGAACCTGCAGTTGGTGCTTAGTGGGTACAGAGCTTCAGTTTGGGGAGATAAAAAAAGTCTGGAGCCACACGGTGAAGGTGACTGCAAAGCACTGGGAATGTGTTTAATGCCACTGAACTGTATACTTTAAAATGCTTAAAATGGCAAGTTTCATGTCATGTATATTTTACCATTTTTTAAAAAACAAAAGAAGGGTCTCATCAGAGCCAGCCCAGCACAAGAGGAGGGGAGCAGGTCCGGAGGAGCGCGGCTGGGCTGGGGGAGGCAGCCACGGAACTCCTGTGCCACGACTCGCTTCTCTCTCTAGTCAAATGGAAATGGAATGGGAGCATAGCTGCCTCCATCAGTCGGGCTCCACATCTGTAAATGAAGGAATATGGCTGGTGGTCTCCAAAATCTCAGCTCTGACACTGGCCCTGCCCTGCCCCTCAGAGATGGGACAGCCGAGTCCCAGCCGTGAGACAGGAACCATCTCGTGACCAGAAGACGAACCCACAGCTGCTGGGTGATTTTTGAATAAGAACATAAGTCCACTTCACTGCAGCCACCTGCAGAAGGCAGCTGAGCCGCTGCAGGAGTGGGAAGGGGGGGCCGCGCCGGCACCTGGCAGTGTGCAGAGCCGAAGCCAGGCGCCCACCCAGGCCCGCAGAGCCTCCGAGCCCAGGCCACGCTGCACCACAGGGGCTCTGCCCCGCAGCAGCGCTTGCAGGTGGTGTGCCTAAAGCAGCCACACACCTAAGAGAAGTGGTGCAAAGGCCCTACCTTCTTTGACTAAATATTTCTGGGTTTGTCTGGGGGTTTTTTGGTGTGTTTTTTTTAACATGTTTTTATTGATTTCAGAGAGAGGAAGGGAGAGAGAGAAACATCAACGATGAGAGACTTATCGATTGGCTCCCTCGTGCACGCCCCTGACTGGGGGGATCGATTCCACAACCCAGGCATGTGCCCTGACCAGGAATCAAACCGTGACCTCCTGGTTCATAGTTCAGCCCTCAACCACTGAGCCACGCCAGCCGGGCAATATTTCCATTTTTCAGGGCTAGACTACAAAAGCCAACTTCTTGAAGTGTGGTTTAAAACAACACAAAACGTTTTAATTAAGTAAGTTTAAAATGACACCCAAGCTTCAGTCTTCAAGGGGATTTGCAGCACACACTTGAAAATTCCAGTTTTAATCACTAGAATAAGTAGGTAATTGCTAGAGTAGAGATTACTAAAGCTAACACCTTGCTGACCAGTGACAAATATACATGTGTTTCCATGTCTGAATGTTGAAGACTGGTCACGAGCATTCAAGTGTGGAAAAGTAGCCGGCAACACCGGCAAGTTCTAGCTCAAAAGAGCCAGTCAGTAAGGTGTTTTAAGTAATTAGTAGAGTTGCTCTGAATAAAATATCAGAGGAATTAAATTACTAGAGTAGGAAATTACTAGTTGCTCCAGAGTAATTCCTGGAATAGCGGAGATACCATGAGGGCAGGACTTTGTTTTGTTCAAGCCCAGATGAGAGCGAGGCGCACGGAAGCGCACAGGAAATAAAGCCAACCCTCGATTTTGCAGACCTTGATTTAAGGGACTTCAGAGTTAACAGACAAAATTTCCAGTCCGTATGTCATATATGAAAATTAACACCCTGCTAATTTTGAAATGCTTTTAACCAAGCTTTGCTCATAATTAAATTAACAGGGTTTTTTTTGTTATTAATTCACTGTTATTTTTAACAAATTTTAGCAAACTTGTTGGAAAAAACAATATAGTAATTTTGCCAATATAAATAAATATTACAAATCTACAACTACAGCCTACATATTTAAATCCAAGAGTCACCACTCAAAACAATGTTTGGCGCATGATCAGCACATGGTCACACCACATTGCAAGCAGTGTGTTGTCGTGGAGTGACTACGCTAAGCCCAGCCACGTCACCGGGTGACAGATGAATGCATGCGTTTACTAGACCTATTCAGTATAAAGTTAAAATTACTGTAATACCTACTGAAAACTTTTCTGTGAAATTAACTTTTTTTTTTAACCCTCACCCGAGGATATTTTTTCCATTGCTTTTCAGAGAGTGGGAGAGAGGGACAGATAGAGAGAGAAACATGGATGTGAGAGAGACATTGATTAATTGCCTCTTACATGCACCTGGACCGGGTCCAGGGATCAAGCCTGCAACCAAGGTACGTGCCCTTGGCCGGAATCAAACTCAAGACCCTTCAGTCCACAGGCCGACACTCTAATCACTAAGCCAAACCGGCCAGGGCATACACACAAACATGTCTACATAAGTAAAAACAGGTAAACTAACTAGTTTGTCAATTTTTTCACATATGCATTTGGAAAACCTAATTTATTATATAATGGACTTTCAGCTTTAACGGACACCTCCTCACCCAAATTAGTTGTTATATCGAGGTTTTATTGTAGCTGTTGAAGGAACTTCTTTTCCAAAATCTTCATTCTCTAAAACTAAATGTTTAGCGTCCACAATCAAGGCATAACCTAACACATAACATGTACACATGGTATTGAAAAGCACTATGTCAGTGTCGCTTCCAGCTTGGGGGTGGTGGAGAAACCTATATACATTGCCTGTCCTACAGATTGGCAACTGGGACCCCAAGAAACCTCAACTCTTTAAAAACTGGGTTACAATCCAATTATAAAATGGGCAGAGGCCCTGAATAGACATTTCTCTAAAAAAGACAAACAGATGGCCAAGAGACATGAAAAGATGCTCAATGTCACTAGTCATCAGAGAAATGAAAATTAAAACCACAATGAATTATTACCTCACACCTGTCAGGCTAAATCAACAAACAACAAGTGTTGGTGAGAATTTGAAGAAAAGGGAACCCTCATGCACTGTTGGTGGGATGGCGGTGCAGCCACTACGAAAAACAGTATGGAGGTTCCTCAAAAAATTAAAAACAGAACAATTTCAGTTCTATTGAACAAAAATTCTATGACACAACAATTCCATTTTGGGGTATTTTTCCAAAGAAATCCAAAACACTAATTGGAAAAGATATATGCACCCCTATGTTTATGTACCGTTATTTACAATAGCCAAGATATGGAAGCAACCTAAGTGCCCATCAATACACAGTTGGATAAAGAATATGTGGTACATCTTCTTTATACAATGGAATATTACTCACCATAAAAAAGAAAAGAGTCCTGGCTGGTGTTGCTCAGTGGTTAGAGCATCAACCTGTGGACCAAAGGGTCTCAGGTTAGGCTCTGGGTCAAGGGCACGTACCTCAGTTGCAGACTCGATCCCTGGCCCCGATGGGCGCGTGCAGGAGGCAACCCATCAAAGTGTCCCTCTCACATCAATGTTTCTTTCTTCCTCTCTCTCTCTCTCTCTCTCTCTCTCTCTCCTCCCCCTACTCTCTCTAAAATAAAAAAAACATATCCTCAAATGAGGATTAAAGTTATAAGTATATTTTGTTTTATTGTCTCAGGCCAAAAAATACCTCTATCAATATGGACAAGTGTGTGTGGATTCAACTTCTTATTTGAAAATAACGTCAAGCATAAAAAATGTTTTAAGAATTAAAGGTGGCAGGTTCAATTCCCGGTCAGGGCACATGCCCAGGTATTGGGCTGGATCTCTGGGTCAGGCGCAGAGAGGTGGCAACCAATCGATGTTTCCCTCTCACATCAATGCTTCTTTCTCTCTGTCTCTCTCCCCCTTCCCTCTTCTCTCAAAAAATAAATAAAAACAGATATACCTATAGTTAACAACGTACCCCATTTCCTACCATTTGCTTTCTCTTGATATGATATAATGTAACATGATAAATGATATAATTACACACACACATTTTTTTCTGAGTCATCTGAGAGGCCTATGCCCATGGACAGGAATAGTCTCTTAAACAGCAATGGCACAGTTATCAACGTCACTATATTTAACACACGTGGAATTTTCATCTGCCATTTGTATTCCAGTTTTTCATTCAACTCAATAACAAATGGCTTTTATAGCATTTTCCCCTCTAGCACAGGATCCATTCTAGGGCTGGGTGTATGTTTAGTTATGTCTCTTTGGTTTCCTTTAACCCACAGCCTTTCTTTGTCTTTTGACTGACATCTTGAAGACAAAAGTTCCCATCCCCACTTTTTTTGTTTTTGACAGCTTTGATCAACCAAATTATTTTTATTTCATAATAAAAATATTCTTACATCTGAAATACTATTATTTTATTTAAATTTATAGATTTTTCTATAAATTGTAATAATTTGCTCTGTACTTAAAATGTACATCTCCTTGGCATTGTAAGTAATGGGAAGATTTTCTAACTTATATAATTCTAATTCTAAATAAGACTTTTTAGGAATGCATAGAGCAGTATTATACACATAGCATATTAGATTCCCAAAGCTTCTGAGATTGTGATCTCTTTCTGTGCGAGTACATCAGCCATGCAAGTCTCTCTCTGAGATTCTCTCTCCCTCTACCCTCCCACACACGCACACAGACTTTCTAACGATCTTTCTGGTAAAAACTGATGCTTATCTACAGGGATTCAGGTCTTGAATCTTACTAAGATTTCAGGCACCAACTATGCAATGAGATCTCTGGCTCTGCCAACAGCTGGGGTTTCTATAAATTTCAATTCAAAGAAAATATACATTTACTATTATATGATTCTACCTTAACTATTGGCTATTAACATAGAATGCTCAAATCTGGCATTCCTGGTGGTTTAGAAAGTCAAAATCAAACATGGAAAAAGCAGCTTTTATAGTGGGAGACACATCTTACCAAGGAAAACATTCCAGGTCCACAAGAGGCTCTCCAAATTTAAGTGTTTTATTTGGATAAATGAAGACAAGCAAAAGGCTGAAAGACAAACAACACTCACTTAATGCAGCCCTTTTCACTGCAAGCCGCCTGAGCAGTAGACAGAACTGTAGCTCTAACAACCACTACCACCACCACCCCCCATCTGCTAGTAGTTTCCAAATTACTACTGTGAAGCGGTTCAGGTACTTCACGTCAACCAGCAGGAGGTGGTACAGTAGATGCCCATCTCATGTTAATTTATCAGTTCAACAATATGCACTGGCCAAAGCACAGAGGGAAGCAATGCACATGGACTGCCCACCACTCAAGGGGCACAGGCCCTGGAGCGTGCTCTTGGGAACTAGAACCTTGCTGCTCCCCAGAAGTCCCCACTTCCCAGGAATTCTGGTAACATGAGCAGATTACCAAGACAGGCCACCTGATGATTTTGAGGGTAATTTTTACCTCAAGCAGTTTTTGCCCTTCACGTTGATTTTGGAACCTAATCCCCACGTTAAGAGGTATCTCCATTATATTGGGATTAATCAGTGTCAACTTTGAGACCTGAATGAGTGTCCAAACCTCAAATCAAGTGTCCTTTATCTAAAAAATGCTAAGAGAAGCTACAAGTTAAACCAAAAACACACAGGCACAGGTGTGCCTACATGTGCGCACACACAAAGTTTGGGACAGGGACAGTAAGCTGACTATACTCTAGTCTCTGTAGCCAAATCCTTGCTGTGATTGATCACTGACAGAGAAGATCATGAGCTATATATTCTGAAATCAATCTTAAATGCCCTGCTTCCATTTCACAAATTATTCTTTCATTATAACAGCAATGTAACAGACACTCAGACCCTACTCTAGCTCTCTACACTCCCATAGTAGGTAAATACCCAAATCTCTATCTAAGGTGGAGTGCAGCTGTTTCTACCTTTCAAAAGGGGTTCTGTCGTGCAGATACTGCTTCTCAGGTGAGAACCCCCAGAAGTTCCTTCCAAACTTACACCACCAGGCTAATCCCATCTTAGTAATGTGACTATATTTCCATAGTAACATATCCCTACATCCTAATCTCTGGACCATACATTTACTTAAAACCCTGTTAAATGGACTCAGTAATTCAGGATAGTTGAACTTCCTGGTCAACCTTTATAATTTACTGGAATAAGTTTTATTTTCTTAATCCTGATAACATCATTTATAACAAAATACTATATACATTTATAAAATTGAGAAATGAAGTCTGATCATAAATAACACACAGTGAGGCCAGATCAGATTCTCACCAGCAGTTAGCCAGACTAGACGGTAGAAGGGGCATCCCACAGTGTGGTACAAGGTGACACCAAATGCCAAGCCAGTAACATTACCCAATGTTTCAGTTGCCATGGTCTCCTCAAAGAATGTCCTCTGTCAGGTGAAATAATCACTGCCCAGTGCTGAGCCAACATCCTTGGGTTCCACCTAAATTAGTTAATTCTTTTGGTGGTCAGTTACAGATTCTTTGAGGCAACTTTTTCCAGTACTGAGTACTTAACCTCATTTCCAAAAGCAAAATTCCTTGGGAAATGCTCCTGAGGTCCCCCTCACCTGGATGCCTTACCTACTTCCTTGGCCTATTCAAATCCTATGCATTGCCCATCTCAAGGCTCAGCAGCTCTTCCCCAAGTCCACACCGCGTGTATGCCAGCATTCAACAGATACTCAGCTGACAAATAATGAATTTGTAACAACAACAAAAAACAACCAAACCCCACCTCCACAGAGCTGCCCTCACATGCTATCCACTTCCTCTCCACCCATCCAGTCTCCAGCCCCCTCCCCGCTCCTGCACCACATGGACCTGCACCACACGGCACTGCTCTTGCTGAGGCTGCCAGTGTCCTGCCAGCCTTTCCCATTCTGCACTGCAGAGTTGGGCCCGCTTCCCTCCCTCCTTCTTGAATACACTTTTCTCTTGGCTTCTGGGAAAATACTTTCTGACTTCCTCCTGTCCCCCAATCACTCCTCAGTCCCCAGTGGGGTTCCTTCCTCTGCAGGCCTTACTAGGCAGCTTACAGGCACAGCAAACTAACTTGTCCAAAACAGGCTCCCAGAGGCCACAGGGCTTTTTGCACATGCTGTCTCCCCTGTTCAGAAGGCTCTTTCTCTACTTTCCACCCAGCTAACAAACAGCATTCTCCCACACTCCCTGCAGGTCTCAGCTGATCACAGGTCCTCAAAAAATGCTGACACTCCAACCTAAATGAGTTTCCCTGCCATTCCCTCACACACCCCTGCACTCACCCCCATCCACAACCCTGCATTTTCTGGTTTAACGCACCCTCAGTGCACTGCGCTAGACGGGCAAGTCCATGAGTGCCCGAGACTGGCGCTTCTGACTTACTGAAATGTTCTCTTGGCTTTTTCTTCTTTTTAAATACAAATAATTAAATGGAATTTGCCAATGTATATGGAAAATATTACAGTTTGAAGTATAAATGCTTCCATAAAGCAAAAACTGTTTTTTGTTATTACTGTTTTACAGGGTAAGAAACAGACCCGAGGAGGAATGGGTTACAGTCACAGAACCAAATCTCTGAAGCTCGGGGAGAGACAAAAGTCATACACCCTTGTAACTCTAAACTGACTGCCTCCCTAGAGAGGGGAAAAAAAAAGTCCAGAATAGATATCTCTTAATTTCAAATAAAAGTACTTAACTAGATCAGATGCATTTCTGAAAATAGCTTTTAAGCCTCTGTGAACTGACACACCCACACATGCTAGACATTTTGAAGGCTAAATATAGTTTATTGAAAGGACAAATATCTAAAAGACGGCTGGTCGAGGAGGCAACAACTCAACTTTGCTTCAATGCCTCTCCTGACCCCCTTCACCCTCACACAGCTGGTAACCAAAAAAGGGCCAAGTTCTCCCAAATTTTAGATTCCGTGTATTTGTTTTATCAAAGTTAAATGTGCATATAAAGAAGCTACAAAGCTCATGAGAAACCAAACAGGTCCTCCACCCCTCCCTACTCCCACTTCCCAGTTCCTGAGGGCAACCACTTCCAGTTCTTAACTGACTCTTTCTGTATTTTACACCCCTAAAGAACATGTCTATATTACTGCTTTCAGAGGTTTTAACTTAGGCATTAGAACTGGAGGCTTTACCTCTTTCATCCACCAGGACTCATCAGTCACATCTCACACAGGCAACAATTTCAGTTAGATCATTAGTCAGAATTTACATTATAAGTAGGTAAGCGTTATTGAGAGTTGAATTTTATAGTAAAACTATGAAACTTTTCCTAATCTACACAACTTTTTCTTTTCCCTGGTATTAACAACTGTCCTCAGACTTTGCACTTGGTAAGCCTTCTATGTATCAGTAATTTATCCACACATTCCCCCTAGCCTGCAGCTCTTCCTTCAGCCTGTGCCAGGACATGGGGTGTTCAATCAACTTCTCTCCTCTTAGGGGTTGTTCAGTCTGGCCTGAGGGTTCCTCAGCTACGTCTCAGGATCTCCCTTTGCCAGCACCCTGAAGACTCCCTTCTAAGAATTTTCCTTAAACAAGTAACAAAAAAGCACAAACTTGTAAGGAGAAAGATTGGTACATTTGACTGCATGAAAATTAAGAATGTTGGTTCTTCAGAAATAAAAAGCGAAGTCATAGAGGGAGAATTTTAATATATATAATTGAACACATAAACACACGTGTGCACACAGCTCCAATGGAAAAAATGGGCAAAAGACAAATGTTTCTCAAAAGACAAAACAAATACCTAAGAAGCACATAAAAAGATGCTCACCCCTATGAGCTATAAAGGGAAACAGCATCTCAGTGGTTCTGAGACACTATTTGAACACCCACCAGGATGAAAAGTAACATCTCTGACATGCCAAGTACTGGTGAGGATGTGCCACTGTGGGAATTTTTACACACTGCTGCTAGCAGTGTGTAAACTAGCACAATTACTCTGGAAAGCGATTTAGAATGATCCAGAAAAGCTGGAATGCACATTCCTAGACCCACCACTGGGCCCCCTCACAAATGTCCTGGTTCCCCTCTCCTTCCAGACACACAGTGGAATGGCACGTCCCCAGGTCTCTGAGGTTGCACAGACCATGTGACTTGCTCTGGCCAACATACTATGGGTAAAAAGAACAGGTGTCGCTCCAGGTGGAAGCTCCCAGAGCCAGCATGAGATCTGCCAGATTGCTTCCCCTCATCACAGTGACCACGGACACATTAGGAACGGAGCTGCATCAGCCCGCCTGGGAGTGCGGCAGTGAGAAGAGGTACCTGCAGATGCTCAGCATGGGGGAGAAATCAACTGTGGGTCCACTAAGGTGTTGAGAGGGACTGTTACTGCAGCACAGCCTAGCCCATCTTGGCTGATACACCCAACAAGCTCACTCCTAGGAATTTCCTCTAGAGAACCTTCTACACGTGTTAACATTACACAAGAATGCTCAGAGGAGTATCATTTAAAACAGCAAAACAACAACTAGAAACCCAAATACCCACTAACAGGAGAATGAATATATAAATACAGCCCATCCTCAAATAATGGTTGTTACATTCAGCATTATTTCATTATAACACTAATAAGAAAAAACACTGATTCCCAGCCAAGGGCGCTGTCAGTGTGAGGTGTGTGCTCTCCCCATGGCTATGTGGGCTTTCTCCGGGGACTCCAGGTTCCTCCCACACCTCAAAGACGGGCACGTGAGGTGAACTGACATGTCTACGTGGTCCCAGTCTGAGTGTGGCTGTAAGTGGCCCTGAGATGGAAAGGTGTCCTGCCTAGGGTGGGTCCCGCCTGGAGTCCTGAACTGCTGGGAAAGGCTCTGGCCACCATGACCCTGAATTGGAATCAGCCGGCTGGAAAAGAATGACTTTGCTTGTTTTTATTAATCTTTCTTAAATGTATGTACAGCTCACATTTATTTCACTGTTTAATAATAGAAGCATATAGGAGAATGTGTGTAGGTTATATGCAAATACTACACCATTTGTAAGGGACTTTGAGCATCCGTGGATTTTGGTGGCCACAGGAGACAAATCCTCCACGGATACTGAGGGAGGGCTGTGTATGCAAGCACGAGCATGCACACACACACACAAAATATAACTGGGGTGGTGGAAAAACAAGCTTCAGAAAAATACATCAAGTATGATTCTCCTTGTATGAAGTTATAAAAGCATACGCAACTAAACAATGCATTGTAGGGATACATAGAAAGATGTTAAAACTACAAATAAAAGCAAGGGAATATTAACACAGGGAGAGCAGGGCCCACAGGGAGGGAGGAAAACACACAAGAGGTCTCTCTAGTTTCTGTAACAAGTGCTGGGTATGTGATGTTCATTTTATTATCTATTGTTCACATTTACATGATATACTCCTTCACACATAAAAGATTTCATATTTAAACTTTTCTGGCAAACTACCATCCTATTCATTATTTTTCAACGTCCATTCTCTATTAGTAACTATTTATCTATTCAGAATAAAACCAATCACAAAATACAGTACCTTTTCCTAAGATCTTTTTAGGGGCTGTTTATTTTGTTGCTGATTTTTCTTTCCTATTTTTTAAAGTCAAAAAAAGGAAGCAAATCATAAAATCTGGTGGAATAACAGACCCACCAGATGTTCGAGGATATTAGTGACTGAGGTTCATACAGCTGCATTAGCCGGCTGATGTCCTGGGAAATCCTTCGAGGTCTGTATGGGACCAATTACATAAAGGTACCAAGGGGGGGCTCTAACCACCAGGCTGGGCTGCCTCCGCTGACAAACTACCACTAGTCCCTACAAGCATGCGGGGCAGGGCAGGGCGGGGCAGGGCTGGCGTGGGAAACTGCAGTGCTCTAAGGTTGCTTATTGCTGTTTTCTGCATAATTTCTATTTCCAAGACAAGGCAAAACATTTCTCAACCGCAAAGGCTCACATCTATCAATTCTACGTGGACATCCAGGTCACATTTATCAAAAGTGACAGAAACTGCTCGGGACTGAGGCAGTGCTGACGGACAGACTGGGACCTCCCTGCTCAAGTTCGAGCGCTGGCTGGCTTAAAACAGACAAAGTGACAAAGAGTGATCAATAGTGATGAGTGACGTACAGGAAAAGTAGGCGAGGATGGGGAGGTGAGGCCCCCCAGGCAGAGCGGGCACAGGTAAGGTCCTGGGAGGGAAAGAGCCTGACACTGGAGGCTCTGTGCTGACGAGCAGAGGCGAAGGAGCAGGGCTACTTTTAATACAGTTCACTCACGTTTTAAATAAGAGAGGGAAAATTTGGGCTAAAAATAGTATCAGATTTACCAGTTGCACTTTAAATAAATTCCTCCTTTATCCAATGCTGCCAGAATGTGGAGTCAAAAATCATACAATCCTATC